GGGGGGGGGGGGTTGTGTACGTAACACAGCTATCCCACAGAATGTGGGAAACATAACTCAACTCAAGATCGTTCACTAGTACGTTGTTAGATAGCTATTTAGCTATGGAGTAGTATGTTGCAGAGGTAGACAGGGTAATAAGGTAGGGGTCTTAGGTTATTGCAGGAGGAGTGATTAAGATGTTAATGTTGGTGTGTTATAAATTAGGAAAGGGCAAAGCCCAGCCGTAGGGCGGGTGCACGCCCTGAAACGCGTTTTTTGCCGCTTAGCACCCATAGCAGCTCATCAGAGGGATTAGTCGTTAGCAAGGCTCCAATTAGCACAAAGGGCGGTAGGGAGTTGTAGTCAGGGGGTCGTGGGAATACACAACATGGGCGATTAGGGGTAAGGGTATAGAGGATCCTTACCCACGGTGTCATGTCTGGAGAAGCGGGATAGTCAGTCGCTGTCGTAGCTGCCATAGTTGTCGAGCTTCGGCGTAGCGATGGATCAAGAGCTCTGTTGGTTGAAGCACAGATTGGCCAGCCCAAGAAGGTGGCTTGCCTGCCGCAGACAGACGATTAACTCGCTTGGTTGCGTAGTATGAGGGGGTTGCGGAGAGGCAGGTGGGAGAAGATGGTGGGATAAGGAAGTTCTTCGCATGCATAGCAAGTATGAGTCGGAATGCTCCGTAGCACTGATGTAGTTATAGGCAAGCTGTTGTAGATAGTAATGTAGGCAGACTTCATTATATCTTGTTATGTGAGGATAGCTTAATCGTTATTGTTTTTTTTATTATTTTAATTAAAAAATTAGGTCGCCGAAAGGTGATATTCGTTCTAGTTTGGTTAAACAGGGCGTATTTGGTAGGTTTTAGGGGTTTGTGTAGGTGTAAGGGTTATGCTTGTGTGTGATCGGTTGTAGTACAATTTACGGGGTGTGGCTGTAGGTGGAGTGATTATAGTTTTAAGCTTTAGTGACATATTTGCTTTGCTTTGTAGTTCCCGCGTAATGTTATTGTCTTCTTTTTTTACGCCAAACAACTTCAGAGCTCGGCGGTGGTCAGTATTTTGGATGGGTTGCAGTCTAATTATTTGTTTAAAAAAAAGTGACATATTTCTTTTGTCGATTTTTTTTGTCCTGGTTTTCAAATGCCGATCTTCATGGGGATGCTTCACGAGATTTTGTTTTTTTGTGTGTCTTTCTTTGCGGGGTGTTGCTTTGTTGTTTCATTTTTTACTGTCGTATATGTTTTCTTCTCTTCATTTTCGTGTCTATGGGTGTGTTTACGATTTTATTATTATTTATGTCCCTTAGTTTTCTTGAAAGAAATATTTGCCTTATGTAGCGCCCTCGGCTTGGTGGTCGTATCGATGTACGAGTGGGAGTGTATGTGTATTAGGTTCTTATGTGTAGGTCAGTGTTTAGTGGTTTGCTGTGTATGTTTTTTTTAAGGGATGTTTTAATAAATTTGACGATGGGTGGTACTGGAGTGTTGTATTCTTCTTCGGTTCTAATTAGTTTTTCTCAGTGTAAATCGCGCCATGTTTTTCGTCCTGTATGTTGTTTTATATGTAAGTGTACTTAGTGGTGTGTTATGCATTATTTTTGGGGGTTTCTAAGGTGTTTTTTATGAGGTACAGCTCGTAGCACAGTTGCTTCATTACTATTCAGTCGACATCTGTAATTAAT